TGGTGGAGGAGCATCATAATCATTTAAACGCGGATAATATTTATTTTGAGCTAAAAGTAAATTAACATGCGTATCCCGTTTATTTTCCGTTAATCTTGCTGGTACTACTATGTAAAATGATTTTTTTTCTGTTTCGATCAATTCTAAAGCGTAAACATTGACTGAAATGTTATTCATCTTTTCAAATTTTGAAATTTTTGTTAGCAGCATAGGACTATCTAAATTTTCTGTTTGTAAAACGTCAGTAAAGTGTGGATATGAGGAGGTTAGTTCTGCATGTCTTTTTTTGCTAGGAGTCCGAAGAGCGCTTACAATGGCCCAGTAAAAGCAATTTTGATCTATATTTTTAATGTTTATACAAGCATTTTTCCTTATAATCGGTTCTGGTAGTCTAATATAAGATGAACCGTTTCCCAATTGATATTTACTGATATTAACAACTAAGGAAATAATTTTATTTAACGCAAATCCCGAATCTTTTTCAGCAAATTCCGATAATTCGTTTAAAAGTTTATCTTTCACATATATCTTAAACCACTCGTCTATTTGAGTTGATGTATCAATAATATGATTTTTAGTATTAATATATTTAATTCCCAAAATTTCATTATCCCCCGATTTCCTAATAAACTCCCCGCAAAATGTTGTATTTACTTTGAGCGCACAATGGGTGTTCAAAATATTCCTAATTTTCCTTTTAAAAACAACTACACAATCTGCTAAAAATTGATTCAAGTCCTTATGACGCAAATTAGCTATGGAACCGGTTTTTATTCTACTTTGAAAGCTCGATTCTACATTTTCCCATCTAACCCTCTGACCCAATGTTAAGTGAAGTCCTGCCCCAATATGTCTAGTTAAAATCAACTTTCTAAAATGTTTAAAATGCCCCAAATTTGTTTCTACTTTTCTACAGGTCCCTACAGATAATTTATTTTGCCTTCTACTACGAATTACCCGTTTACATAATCTAATTTGTTTTTCTATTCGTTTCAGCCACACTTCCGCGTCTCTGATTGTAAAATTATCAAATAAAATTTTCCGTAGACTAACAATTGATAGTAGAACACCGTCTGTTTGTTTGATGATCTTTTTAACCTTATTTGAAGACATTTGAAAAGACGACATTTTTTTTTTCAAGCAAACACATTACTCAAAAATATATAAAAATGCTCACCCTGTCCTCCTCCTCCTGTTCTCTGCTTTGTTAATTTTCCACTATTTTGAATGATGCTAGCGGTCGGCTTTTCCCTACGTCCACTTCCCCTTGGAAGATGATCGAGTATTTTCCGTGAAAAAGTTCGTCGATGACCGGCTGGTACGTTTCCGTCACCCGCTGTGGTAGAAATAGCACTTCCGGTCCTAAATCTAGTAGCACGGCTTCCCCAAATTTCGACTTGACCACTTTAGCTGCTTGGATTGCAAATGGTGTCCCGACTGGTAGGTCCTTTAATTTTCTGATAGGTTTGCGGTCTACAATCGAAGACGCAGCATTAATTTTTGATAAATCCATCTATAAAAAAAATTGAGTCGTCTAACTATTTTGAAGCATAACACGAAAAAACAGTTGCACTTAGAGACATAAAAAAGAAAAATATTAAATAAAATAGCACTTACTTTTTTTAAAATTTTCGCTATCTCGTCTCTCTCGAAGCACTATTGTACTGCGGCCGTTGTTCCAGCTTGCAGCGTTGTGCGTTAAGTGTGAAACAATGATGACTATTGCATGCGCTCGCTAAATATAAATACGTGGTTGAGATAACACACGCGTGCATGAGATAATTGTATCGTAAATATGCATATTATATGCATCATATTCTCAGTACCATTTTTATCGAGAAAACAACATTCATTGCGGTTGCAGTATTTTTTATATAATTTCTTAGTAATACATGAATGTATCGTTTGTCCGGCGGAAATTCCAATTACAAGTTGCACATGAGAGTAGAAATTTAGAAATATAGTAAATTCGTGTATGATTATTGTATATTTGCTGCCTAATTTTTTTTCAGTCAAGATTTTGATTGGGGGGTAAACGAATTTATATTTGCTATCTGAGATTTTTGACATCATTCTCTATCAGGTGTTGGTTCATGAAATTGGACATGCTCTCGGCATAGCACATAGTGCTTCTCCGAATGCTATTATGTTTGCCTTCTATCAGCATGAGATTCGTGGTCTAGATGTTGATGATATAAATGCAGTACAATATCTATATGGAAGAAAAAACAAATATGATTCACTCCCAACGTCTACCACCGCATCAGCAATACCAAAAACAACAACAACTATAAGATCTACAACTCGTAAGCAGCCGATCCTCAAAAATTTGTGTGATATTATTCCAGATTTTATGTTTTTAGCTATTGCTCCAGAGTTTTCAAATTACCGATTATATATTGCACATGATATGTTTATATGGAAACTAGACTTAAACGAAATGATTATCCCATCTCAGCCTGAACTTCTTGTCGATTATGTTCCTACAGAATTACGTCAATACACTTTACAACATATTTTCCAATCAACAAACGGTGACTTGATTACCATTGTGTCTCCAAACAACTATTTCTCAGCATCATTCCCTACCATTAAATTTCTTGATAATTTTTCAATTGATATACCCGATAGGGCTCGAATCAATGCTATTTTTCAATCAAACGCAGGACGGTCCTATACCTTTTATAATAATATGTCATATATAGAATTTTCTAACGATTTTACTGATGTGTTGAACAGAGGACGGATAAGAGACATATTTCCTGGGTTACCTGAAGTTTAGGGAAAAAATTAAAAAACAACCAGAACTGAACCGTGAAATACATAATTTGATTCTTGTCTGTCATGAACCAAATCAGTTGTCGAACAATGATTTGAGTCGATTAGTATCAACATCTAAAGTACTCCCTGATATGTAGTTTTATTGAAAATACCTCTGGTTTGCGAAATAATATTGTCGGAATTTCTTGTTGCAAGTTGTTCAAGCGCGGGTATTCAAAACATGGCACACACACACACACCAATCAACCTTATTGTTATATATACTATATGTTTCAATAAAATATCCATTATACTATTTTCATTTTGAACGGTATCATCCTGTATAATAATAACAGTACATCGTATACAGGTTATGAGACATTCTGACCGACCGACCGACCGACCAGAGGAGCCCACCACGCTATTTAGGTCACGCCTTGCTATATACGATTTAACGATATACCGTCGGTCCATCGATCCGCTATTTTTCGATGCACCCCTGTATACACGTTGCCCCCCGTAATCCACGCCAACACCAGACAGGTGCGACATCGGCGCCATCTATGCGCGAGATGCCCAACCCATCAATGGCAGCTGTCCAATGACGCATAGATTCCGTTAGGTTTGTACAGCGCCAAACAAATCGGCGCCATCTATGCGCGAGATGCCCAACCCATCAATGACAGGTGTCCAATGACGTATGACAGATGACGTTTTAACGCCATCTATGCGTGAGATGCCCAATGACGCATGACAGGTGTCCAATGACACACAGATTCCGTTTGGTTTGACAGCGCCATCTAGCGGCGGAATCCCCAACTCATGAATTTCGATTACAGATTCCGTCCAACAACCTGTCAATGGCGCGCGACGCCAGCGCCTCTGGTGGCGGATTTTGGAAGTTTTGAGACCGAATCCCCATAAGACATCTACTCATATTTTCCCCTAAATGCGGAGCCCAATCTGGCAACAGTGCAGGCAAGCGCCTCTCATATACTATGACATACGCACAGACGTCAACGTCATACGGCAGATGGCGGTGGAGTTAATGGTGGAAAAACTGTTAAAAATACAGCGTTTTGGAAAAAAAAATTCATGAAAAAAGTGCTTCATCCACACTTTTCTTGTTTTAAAATAATGTATCAGACTACCCTCTATAAGTTTCAAGTGAAAAAACAGTGAAGTTCTACAAAACGCAACAGCACCTAAAATAATAATAAAAGGCCTTATTTACCTGGCTTGTTTTCATCTTAACAGCTGCTTTTCAGTACCAGCCAATTAGCGGAGTAAACATCTGAGTACATTTCTGTTTGTATTACACGGGTTGCTAAGTTTGCGATGATAGACCGTTATAACTTATGTATTTAGTGGGCGGTTCGGAGAGAGGTATTAACATGGCAAATTGCAAAATCGATCGTTTAGCGGGAAGCCTCCCACTGACACCTGAGAGTTAAAGTGAAATTGGTAATACAAATGAATCGAGCAGCGCAAAAACCCCGTAAGTTCCATAATTTGGATATTTTAGGAAACAATGTCACTAACAAATAAACCAGGCTTAAGGCACTTAAGGTTGTTTGACGTTATTGGGGTTAGTGGTATTCAATCTGGGCGAAAGAATCATATGAATCATACAAACGAAGTATAGATCTTTTCACGTTTTTTGCGGGCAATAGTGAAACTATAGAAATTACTTCCATACATCCATCTCTCTCACACATATACAGGGTGTGAACTCAAAATAAAATTTTGTATCTGTTATGTAAAATATACGTAACATTAAATAAACAGGTGTCTGACCAATAAGTGCCGCATTGGGAATAAGTGCCCGCATTGAAAAAAAAATAACAGGGATAAAATAAAAAAAGGTGAAAAATAATAAAAAAAAAGTTTTTTACTTAAAATAGCACAATAAGCGAGTTCGTTTATTAATTATAACATAAACGTATATTCTACAATAATTTCACTGTTAGTTTGATTAAATTCCGCTTCTTATACGTTTAAGTTATCTAAAAATAGGCAAAAAATTAACGAATTTTAGTGTGTACCTATCCTTGAATTTTCAGAATAATTTAAAAAAAAATATTTTCTATAAAGGGGGGTTCTTTAAAAAAATCAATGCGGGCACTTATTCCCAATGCGGGCATTTATTGGTCAGACACCAATAAACATAAAATAAACTATAAATAAAATAACATAAGCAATAAGTCAATATTTTTAGTGAGAATGATGAACCTGATGCTTTAATAATAAATTTTCACATTTGGCGTCAATTTTGTAAGGGTTAATCTTAAATCTCCTCGGGTAATGATGTCCAGTCTGTTTCTTTTTTTCGTTAGGAGATAGGTAACAGCGCTGAACTCCCTTTCCACTAGGTATGACGATGGAAAGGAAATTAAAAATTTCCTCGCTATATTCCATAATATGGGATAAGTAACGGGTATGTTGTTTTGCAGCCAGAATTGCTGATATCGGTTTTTAAACTGAACCTTAAGTTCTTCGTTTGTACTTAGTTCAGTCAGTTCCTCTTGTATTATGACATTCGTTTCTTCTATGTCACCATATGGATTAACTATCCACGGCGGTATCACCATAGTCAAAATATCCTCAAACCTAGATTCAAAATCTGAATAGAAGGTATTTAAATGTTGAACGTAAGTTGAAACGTCGTCTTCCTGGCAGCTTGTCTGTGACAAATTGGGGAACTGAGAAAATTCGCCCCGTCCAATATTTTGCTTCATTAGTTTAACTCTGGCAAGACACGCTGATAAGATGGACTTTGTTTTAATCAAATTTAAACTGTCGCCTTGTAATTGCAAATTAACCATATTAAATTTTGTAAACAAATCTGTTAAATAGGCGATGTCTGTTTTCCTCTTCATTAAATTTTCTTTTAAAATTTTATCTTTAGTATCCAGAAATTCTAAAATAGTCTCAAAAAGCGCAAAAAATCTTGTCAAACATAAGCCTTTCGACAGCCAGCGTACTTCAGTGTGAAGGAGTAATTGATGAAAGTGTTCGTCATTTTCTTCACACAACTGCGCAAATAACCGCGTTGCTTCTGATTCGGTTTACTGCATCAATGACTAAATGAAGTGATTCATGCAATCTAACACTCAAATTTTTAGCAACTAAATGTTGTCGATGGATGACGCAATGTTTTGCTAGCACCCCTGACACATTTTGTTTTAAATAGCTTATAAATCCACGATAACGTCCAACCATGGCAGGTGCTCCATCTGTAGCTACTGATATTAGATTTGATAAAGGAATTACTTTTTCAATGAAGTAATCCTTCAGAACATGAAATATTGATTCACCTTCAGTGTCGGTTATCAAAGTTCTTGCGAAGAGCAGTTCTTCGTAGATTTCTTGATTCATAATAAAACGAACATATGCCAATAATAATGCTGCATTATCAAGTAAAGTTGACTCGTCCAGTTGTATAGAGAAATGGGTCGTTTGCAAATAATTACATAAGAAGCTTTCAATATCAGAACTCATTTCATCAATACGTCTTTCAACAGTATTGTTGCTTAAGGGAATTCTTTTAATGATATCAGATGCAGGTTTGTGTAAAACAGTTTTTAAAACCTCTTCAACGGCTGGCAAAATTAACTTCTCTCCGATAGTATGCGGTTTTCCGGATTTTGCTATAAGTAACGAGATATTGTAAGACGCCCGCAAACCATCATCATTTCTTTATGACGTCGAAGCGAATAATCTGTCCAGTGTAGGTCTCTTCAGAAATTTATCTTTGGGTGTTTGAAAGTATTTCATATCTTTCTCTGTCTTATCAGGGCGGCATCTTCTCAGATGATCCTGCAGTTTAGATGGTTTCATAGCGTCATTGCCCAAAACTTTGTTGCATAAAAGGCACATAGGCGATTGTTTGTCCGGCAATGATGGAATGAAGCCAAATTTCAAATAATCAACACTGTACTGTCTACATTTCTTTTTAGATTCGGACATGGCATCAGCCATCTGTGGGCAAAATTAAATTATTTAAATAAGACAGAAAATCCAGCAGCTGTATATTAAAAATATTTTTAAATTTTTCCGAAAACATTCCATAATTCGAACATCTTGCAACAATTAGCTCGAATTATGGAGATTGCAGTGTAATTATATTACCGATTGCTAAAACTTTCAAAAAGAAAGTATTGAGGAGTACTCGTGTAATTTTGCATGATTGAATATTTAACTACTAATAACTAAAGTCATGATTGGCGTAATTTATCTGGCTTTGCTAACTACGAGTACAAAACTAAAATTTAATAAAAAAATAATGTACTTACTTTTCTCCAGTACTCTCAAACAAAATAACACTGACTCACTATAATTTGTGTGATATACTATCAGTTTACATTTTTCAAAATATTTTCTTAGCACTTTCCTTTTCAAGATTCAGGAAACGAATAAACGTATTTGTCCCACATTCGTATTTATAGAGTGACGAATTGAACAAGTCAGTACAAGGTAGCGAAGCTCTGATACTGCGACTCTCAGGTTTTTACAAGTTCAAAATGTATTGCGACCACAAAGCGAATACCAACATCCTACAACTTACACAATTTTATAAACATATATAATAAATTTTTTACTTCATAGGTACTTTTATAAATAATGTATATGTTTTGATATTATAAGATAGTATGATGTAAGTAAATAGGTACTATCAGTGTATGTGTTGAGATCCACTATCGTGGACCCCCAAATTTTTTTTCGCTGACGTAAACCCCTTGCAGGTTGTCATAGACCCCTAGGGGTCGATATAGACCACTTTGGGAATCAATGCTCTAGGTCCTCGAAGTTATCCATTTATTATTTCAGCCGCATTAAATTTTCTTTCGTGAAGTTGTGCTTCAGTTGTTACTGGACCAGCCCCATAAACCATCCCTTTAAGTTCTTCCCAATACCAGAAATGCATCGGATTGAGATTAGGAGATCTTGCTGGCCATTTTAGAGGATCAGGAGCATTTCGACCGATCCAGCGATTTGGATAATGTTCATTCAAATACTGAATGACGCCTCTAAAAATGTGTGGTGGTGCCTCGTCATGAAGAAACCACAAATTATGTCTCCGTTGTAATGGCATGTTGTCTAAGGTCCGTTTCAAAAGTTCTGGTAGGTTATTGACTAGAAAGCTAAGGTATCCTGACAACTTTGGGGGTAACTCGAAAGGGCCAATTACCTGATCGTCCAGAATATCCGCCCGAATATTTATCTTTAAACGTTGTTGGAAATGACCTTCACGAATTGTATGTGGATTTTCTTGGGCCCACGTGTGAGTATTATGGAAGTTTAATATCCTGTCTCGCGTAAAAGTACATTCGTCCGTCGCTAGAATGTTTTTAAAAAAATCCGGATTTTCAATGTTTTTGTGCAAAAACACTGGAAAGGCGTTGGGACAGTCGTGTTTAAATGCTCTTTGTTTAGCTGATTTTGCTATTAACAACAAAGGAAGTTTGTTTTTACCGGAAGCATTGCTACAAGCAAGGATAGTCACATGTTCTTTATTTGTAACCAGGAGGTTTAGATTCTTGTTTTGAAGCTAAACTTTTCGCCGGTAACATTGTATAGTTTAGGCCCGTTTCGTCGCAGTTGTAAATTTGTTCTGGATTTAAACCATACCCATTAATTCTATAAAATGTTCTCGAAATTTTAATGCAGCGGACTTATCGGCAGATACCTTTTCTCCGCAAACTTTTAATTTTCGTATACCGTGTCGTTTTTTCCATCTACGCAGCCAACCATCACTGGCGCCTCAACAACTGGCAATTGTTCACTTAAGCTGACTGCCTTTTGCTTTAGAATTGGTCCGGAAATTGGTATTCCACGTTCTCGATTCTGTGTAAACCACAAATATAAAGCATCAGCCACTTTTTGATATACTAAGTGACATATAAATCCGAACACCCAGTTTAAATGGTTTTATTTTAATAAAATTTTGTATAAGTACTTAATGAAGCATAATAAGTAAATGATAAAAATTTCAAAATGATTGCACTGCTTTAAAGCCCTTTGACCTTTAATAATGTGTGGATGCACCCTGATGTGCTACGCATTCTCCAACGCGCCTAGGCATGCTTCTGATCAGGTGGTCAATGTCCTCCTGTGGTATCTCATTCCAGGCAACCACCAACTCCTCTCGAAGTGCTTCTAGAGTCTGAAGAGGACGTTGCAAATTGAGCAATCTCCTACCCATCATATCCCACACGTGCTCAATTGGGGATAAGTCGGGAGATCTTGGTGGCCATGGTAACAATGTGACATCATTATGTTGAAAGAAGTCTATTGTGACTCTTGCAACATGTGGTCGGGCATTATCTTGTTGGAAAGTTGAATCTGCCAGGGTGTCAAGATAGGATAAAAGATGGGGTTCTAGAACTTCGTGGATATAACGCTGCGCGTTCATGTTACCTCTGATGAAGATTAAAGGTGACCAATGGAACCATAAGCTATAGCACCCCAAACCATATCTCCAACAGTGTGATGAATATGTCTTTCAACAAAAAACTGTGGATTCCTCCTTTCACCACGTCGCCTTCTAACCCTGGCACGACCATCTTGCATGCCTAAACAAAATCGAAACTCGTCACTAAAGACAATACTGTTCCATTCCTGTCTCAGAGTGACCGTTGTCTGCACCACTCAAGGCGATTACGTCGGTGTTCTCGAGTTAAAGGGAGGACCCAGTGTGGCCGGTATGAAAACAAGCCAAAACTTCTCATTCGTCGGTAAACACTTCGCATGCCAATAGGTCTTCCGTGTTCTGCAAACCATTTATTTGCAATGGACCAGGTAGTGGAGAAACGGTCCCTTAAGGCCAATAATCTTAGGCGGCAATCTTTACGGTCTGTTGTTCTACGGCGGCGTCCAGTGCCCCTTGCTCTTTGCGTACGGCCTTCTCGAAGCCATGCCTGACAACACCTAACCACAGAGTCTACACTACTTTGCACTCTAACTGCAATTGCCCGAAAAGAAAGTCCAGCTTCCCGAAGTCCCACTATACGGCCCCTATCAAACTCACTAAGTTGACGAAATCGTACAGGTCTCCGTACTCTAGGCATCGTAACCGATCGTAAAGGATGTCAAGAACCAAAATCCGCCAACGTTGATTCTTTACTGCGGCTGAAATATTCATTTTTAGAGCGTTAGTGAATTAAAAAAAAGCAGTATAAAAACCGGAATGTCCAACTGATAAGTACAGTAAGATAAATACATTCACCAACTTTTATTAAAATAAATCCATTTAAACTTGGTGTTCGGATTTATATGTCACTTAGTATACATATTCCCCCTTTTTCGTCACGGCTGCGATGATGTCAGAACACTAGACCACTTTTCAATTTTCTCGCGTTGTTTTTTCCATTCTGAAATGGTACTCACGCCCACACCCAAATCATTTGCCACGTCTGATCACCTCAAGTTTCTGTTCTATGGTAATAATAACGCGTTTTCGTTTATTTCTATGCTGCTCCATCTTAGCGATTATGAACCTGAGTGAAACAAACATACACGCACACATACCAGTGAATTCCGCAAAGAAATTATTGTATGCGAGCTGTTAAAGCGTATTTCGGATAATCGCGATTCGGATAATCGGGGTTCTACTGTAAACTGGAAATATTAGTGTTTGTAACTTTTAGAAGATCTTTAAAGCGACACTAAGGTAGTTCGCCTCAGAATCGTGTTGCCCCGTGTTACTTGATCAAAAATAAAAATTGAAATAAAAATGACTTTATTTGTCAAATATTGACAAGTGACGCATTGTTGAGTTTAAAAGGCCATTCTCGATCGGAATAAGTGAAAATAGGGTGACCCATTTAAAAATCGAAAGTTGGAGTCGTTTCCGGCCAAACCGGAAGTACGTCAAGGCAAGTAAAAAAATGTCGAAATTTCGTTTTTCTTCAATAATAAAAAAGTTACTGGGGTGAGCCACCTTGAAGAATCACCCGGTATATTGCGGCTTGCCATGTCTATAACGCGATTCGAATAATTATTTTAGGAGAATAAGTGATCAATGGCAAATTGCAAAATCGATCCTTTTAATGCGAGGCCGCTTACAGACACCTGCGTTAGATGGTAGGCAAGCTGGGTAGCACTATGCTTCGGTAATGCCTCTCTTGGGGAGGATGCAGCGCATTTCGCGAAGTGTCCATAAAAAAAGTTCTAACCGAAATAAAGTAGGGATCCAGATGTTGCGGTGGTATACTCAAGGGCGGGGTTCCGGATTAGTTTCCAAAGTTAGATGATATTTTACGTGTTGTGCTGGAATTACGGGAAGGTGAAATGGAATTTTATTTATTTATTTAAACGAAACAGACGCATTTACTGGCAGCTCAGTTTTTTTTTGGAAAAACGCTCAGACCCGTCGATTTTGTTTTCGAGGGGGACGCAAGTTTGGCAAAAAATCACGTTGACACGTGCAGCCCCCTGGGCGGGGGTGACACCAACCCTAAAATCTTAAATGGAAAGAGGGGTCGAGTGATACCTCGTTTTAAAGGTCTTTCAATTCCCTTTATAATGATG